AAGGCGTGTGAGTGAAGTTGGTGTGTGAGGCTGTGAGTGAATGCGTGTGAGTGAGGTTAGTGTGTGAGGCTGTGGGTGAAGGCGTGTGAGTGAGTGAGGTTAGTGTGTGAGGCTGTGGGTGAAGGCGTGTGAGTGAGTGAGGTTAGTGTGTGAGGCTGTGAGTGAAGGCGTGTGAGTGAGGTTAGTGTGTGAGGCTGTGGGTGAAGGCATGTGAGTGAGGTTAGTGTGTGAGGCTGTGGTTGAAGTCGTGTGAGTGAGGTTAGAGTGTGAGGCTGTGAGTGAAGTCGTGTGAACGAGTGGGGTTATGTGGATGAGGCTGTGTGAGTGCGTGAAGGCGTGTGATTGAGTGAGGTTACATGTGTGAGGCTGCCTGAAGTTGTATGAGTGAGTGAGGCCAGTGAATGTGTTTGGAAGCTGTAGGAGGAAGTGAGGTGGGTCCAACCAAATGGCCTCTGTGCGGACTTCGAGGTGGGGCCCGTGTGGGTGAGTGTGTCTCACTTCCAGCCTGCTCACTCATCAGAGAACAAACGTCCATGGAGTCCTGCACACACGACTGCACACTTGAGGGTGCGTGGAGGTTTGCATTGAACAGAGTGGCTTCCTCACATGTACGGAACCGCAAGGGCGTCGGTCCAGGCATTGGGGGTCCGGGTGCACAGATGCAGGAAAGATGGCGCATGAGGTCTAGATGAGAGAACAGGGGTGAAGCGGGACAAAGAGGGGACGGTGTAGAGAAAATGAGAAGCAGCATGCTGTGAGAGGGATGACATTCTAGTTCTAAAGTTCCAGGGTGAGTGGGAGCCCCAGGCTGGTGAGAGCCTTTGTCTGTGCCCTCCCATCCTGCCTTCCTCGCTGTGCTCCAGAGACAGGGTTTCACAGTCAGGCTGGGAGCGTATTGACAGGCAGGAGGCAGGACTCTCAGCCTTGGTCTTTGCCTGGAAGGGTAACTAGACCTTTAAGTACATGGAGAGTCCAACACTTTGCAGAAGATGGGCTAAACAAGGCCTGGAGGGAGGGAGTTTGGCACACAGGGTGCTGACGTGTGTGTGTGTGTGTGTGTGTGTTCATTGCTGACAACGTGGTGAAGCGTCCTCCAGGCACATTTAAAGGAGGCCACAGGCCACGTAGTCAAGTGCTAAGTGAATTTGCTGCTTTGGGGCCATTCTCTTCTCCTTAAGCCTGAGGAGAACCCCAATGTCCACCTGGAGGGCTTGTGTCGGCGGAAGCAAGGAAAAGGGGCTGCATTCTGAGTTTGTGTTGTTCTGAGGTGAACACGTAGTCACAGTCACAAAGCCAGCACTGCCCAGTGCAAAGAAAATCTGAGACCCAAATGTGTTCTCAGTTACTAGCACACGTTAAACTAAAAGGGAAAAGAAGTGGATAAAATTCATTTTCAACACTAGCTTTTATTTAGAGTCCCTGGTGGGGCCAGGTTCACATGCTCAGCTACTCTCCGAAAGGCTGGAGGTTTGAATCCACCCAGAGGTGGCTTAGAAGAAAGACCTGGTGATCTACTTCCAAAAAAAATCGATTGCTGAAAAAATGTACAGAGCTCTCTGCTTGCACATGAAACCAGCTGGAGCAGGAATCGGCAATCAACAACCACCTCCCTAACGACCGTCAGTCTGTCATTCCCCTGAATATTTTTACTACTATGGGACTTTAAAGCCCTCCTACTTTATCTTGTTACTGTTCTAAGAACTTAACTGTTACTAAAATTGATTTATCGTTGCGTGCCATTGAGTCGGAACCGACCCATAGCTGACTGTCCAGCAGGTGTTCAGAAGCAGTTAATCGCAGGAAAGGAGATTGCTCACCTTTCTCCTGCAAAGCAGCTGCTGGGTTCGAGCCATGTGAATGAAAGTTACTGTCATTTGGTCCATCCTGTCATTCTGAATAGTGCAACATCTGGTGGGAGGTGAGCCCCAAGGATGATGCAGATTCTGTCCTCCCCCAACCCCTAGATTCTCAAGGAGAGACTGGACTTTTTCACAGGGCTTGGGATGGAAATGGAACCCTTTTAAACTTGATCTCAGAGGGCAGAGAGATGCCACAGACTTTGGGCTTTGGTGTCATTTTTTGTGAGGGCTTGCTACAAAAACGTCAGTATTCCTGGGAGCCGCTTTCTCACCAATTCTCCTAACACCCCGCAAGCGTTCTACAGTCTCGCCGTCAGCTGGGTAAGCCAGCTGCTGTGCGGCTGAGCCGCAGCTGCCTGCTCCGTCAGACACCAAACCCCAACACACGCTCACGCAGGTGTGTTGGCCTCGAGGGAATTCTCTGTGAAACGGGGTGCTTGCACTCATCCCTGTGGGGAGCCTCTTGGACAAGAGAGAAGGGTCCCTCGGGAGGCTGAGGCCAGCTTTACATGGTGTCTTGCACCTGCAGACCTAGCCGAGATCATGCCAGAACAGGGCAGAGCTGGGCTATGCATCGAGACTTGTTAACATGAAGGCGAAGAGGACACACTGGGCTCTTGGGGCAGCTGCAGGCTGGAAGGCAGAGTAGTATGAGGGTGGAGGTAGGTGTTGTCTGAGGCTATTGGTGGAAGGAGGTAAGGAGAGTGCAGGCCAGTTGCCACTGTTTATTTCTCTTTGGTTATTGATGTGAGGGAGGGGTTCACTACTAGGGGAACCTCACCCATCAGAGTGAGGTGTCTGTGCCCCCCTGGGGACTTAGTGTGACAGGGCGGAGGGAAGACGTGGACCCAGGCAAAGCCTGTGTCTCTGCAGTCACGCTATCCTCCCCGCTACTTGTCTGGGCCACTTCCTCCCAGGCTGCCAGCCAGGCTCCCGTGTGCTCCTGGGAGGCGGACAGGGAGGAAGGTGTTGCCAATACCTCAAGGCCGGAGCTGGCCTCAACATTCCTGGCCAAGGCAGGAAGAGCACGTAGAGGGCCAGGGGACTGAACAGATGAGTCAGAAAGAGAGGGCAGTCCCCTTCTTGACGTGGCTGGGGCCAAAAAGGAGCTGCCCAACAGCCGCTCAGACCCTCCCATCAGCACCAACTCTGCACCTCTTGTGTTCTCATTCTGATAGTGGGCCCAAGAGGGAAGCGGAAGTCACCAGGAGGAACTCAGAGGTCACCCAAAAAAACCATTTGATTAGGAGGTCGGAGGCTCACCCTACAAACCTTTATTAGCACATACACCGTGCCACCACCTGCCTCAGGGAGCACTTACAAAATGAATGCTTGGTTCATTGATAAATCAAGGGCAGAGATGCCCAGCAGAGAGCAGGAGGGCTGGATGACAGCAGTAGAACTTGTATCAGTGACCTTGGCCATCCCTTAGTTCAGGGCAGAGGGCTAGTGTCCTGAATTCTGAGGAGTTCCTCAACAAGATGGTACCCAGCATGCATCTGGGCAGGGAGCTCTGGTAGCCTCGTGGTAGGAAGCCATACTGCAATCCCAAAGGCATATGGCTCGAATCCACCAGCTGCTCCACAGGAGAAGGATGAGCAATCTCTTCCCATATAATTTACTGCCTCTGAGAACCGACCCATTGGTACACAGTAAACAAAACCAAGACGTGCAACTGCACACCTTCGCTGAGCACCTACTCTGTGCGTGACTGGAACCCTGAGCCCCCGGGGTTTCTGTCCCAGTGCAGGAGGGCTGGGGAATTGCAAAGCGTGTGGGCTGGATTCGCAGGAGCCATGTCTAAGGAGGTGTCATTGTGCAAAGACTGGAACAACTCCAGTTGGGGGAACTGTTGACAGCACCTCCTGCCCCCCCTTTATTTGGGTCTGGCTTGTGTGAATCCAAGGGGATTGTGAGATTGGGGGTGGCATCAGGGTGGCAGTAAGCAGGGAAGGAGCTGATCTGCCTTGGATGTAGCCACTTGGGAACAAGCTCAGGCCTCTTCATGGTCAGCTGAGCTCTCCAGCGCCCCGTGGGGACAAGCTGGTGACTCTCAGCCCAGCAAGGACTCTTGGTTCTGCACCTCTGTCCTGTTCCTAGAGGACCCCACCAAGGGAGAGGCTGTTGGTCTTGAGACATTCAGGGCCCTGCACCCCAACCATCTCTCTCTTTCTATGCCTCCCATATCTAGATTGGTTCCCCCAAAACAAGATGTACAAATGGGCCCTCTCTCCAGGAGATCTGAACAGATCCATCAACTGTCAACTAAATCTCCAGAAAAGGCCTGATCCCTGCTTCCAGAACCTCTCAGCTCCCCAGCCAGCCAGGTAGGATCAGACATGCCAGGCTCTGCCACTTACTTGCCCTATTAGCTTGGGAAAGTCACTAACCCTTCCTGAGTTAGAGTTTCTGTGTCTGTAACGAGCCACTCACACTCTCTATCAGGGAACTCTGGTGTCCGAGTGGTAGGGAATGGCGCTGTCAACCCCAAAGCAGGAGGCTCCACGGGAGAAAGATAAGCAGTCGATTCCTTTGTGATTTATTGCCTTTAAAAACCCACTGGAGGGTCAGCTGTGATCCAGTCCCTACAGTTTCTTCTGAGTCCAGGGCCGCTCTAACAGCTCCCTTCCCCTTTTCTCAAGAATGTCTGAGGAAAAAGGCAAAACGCTGAGTGCACAGGGCAGGCAGGAGGCAGACAGGCCCTGATTGCAAGTGGGGGTTCCCAGGAGGAGGCAGTGCAGGCTGGGGAGAAGGCAGCTGAGAGGAAGACTCTGGCAGAGAGAGAAGGAACAGAGCAGCAGAATCTTCATTCTGTGCTCCTGACTCCATATTCCATCACATCTCTGTTCTCAGCCTGGATGCAGTGGGCCAGAGCACGGGTCGGCAGGCACGATATGACCACGGCTGCTCTCTGTGTGGGACGAGAAGGGCAAGTGAGGCCAGGGCTGCAAATGGAGGACAGCAAGGGAAAGGACAAGGGTGCTGTGAGAGCCAGGGCCTGACCCTCCTGCTTCCCAACCCTGACCTCGGGTCCCAGCTGCCCAGGGATCACCTCTGCCATTCCTCACCAACTGTCCCAACCATCTAGTTCCCACAGAGAGGAGGTGGGCACTGTCCAGCTGGACCCACCTGCCGAGGCTCTCAGTGCTGGTCCAAGATGAGGGGCACTTGGGCGCTGTCCACGCGGGGAGGCAGCCGCTCGCCTGTGCGCACGTTGAACATGGGCAGGGTGGAGAGGGGCCGTGGCACCTCGCGGCTCCCTGCCATCTGCCGCAGCTCCTCCGTGTTCCCGCGGATGGTGCCGTGGTGAACCATCTGGATGCTAGGGGTGGGCAGGGTCGTGGAGGCATCAGCGCCCACAGTTCTGCCCTGAGGGCCTGCGACTCAGCTCCCCTAGGGGTCAGCCTGGCTCCCCTGCACCGACCCAAGGCCTTCTCCACCCGTTATGTTAAAGGGTAATGAGTGCGCACACGACTCTAAGCTGTGAACTGACGTCTGTGGAGGATGTCCGTCCCCAGATGGGTGTCTGATGTTCTGACAACCCTCTGGGTCCTCTGGAGCACTCTGCTCTCTCCCCCCATGCTTTCCCCAGCCCCCAAGCATGTCCCCCCTCCAGAGCTGGTCTAGCAACCCCACCTTCACCTTTTCACACTTCTCGGCCTTGGTTCAGACTGTTCCGCCTCCCAAGAACATCCTCCCCCATCTTCTGGTAGTCATTGAATCTTGGAGCTCCCCAGCCCTGTCATCCAGAACGCCCTGCCCACTGCCCCCAAGCCTGCACCTAGCAGACCGTCCACCTTGCTCCAGCCACTGTCTTCTCTCCTGTCTTTGTTTCAGATCAGGGCTCCCTGAGCGACGCAATGCCACAGCCCCGAGTGATGCGATGCCGTAACCCTCAGGAATCCTCCCTGCCATCTAGCTCCAGGTTCTCTTAGCCCTGTTCTCATCTGCTATTTACACGGTGTGCCTTCTGCTGTTACTGAGCCAGACCTGAGAAGCAGGATAGATAGCACAGTGGTGAAGTGTGAGGGCTTGAAAATAGATTTCACTACTTACTGGTTGTGTGACTTGGGTAAATGACTTCTCTTTCTTTGTGTCCTCAACTGTGATACAGTTGATATGAATTAAACAGTTAACATATCAGAATAGAGCTTACAACAAACTCTCAGTCAATGTGCAGCAAATGGTTAACTGTTATAGGGAAATTTAAGGGGTCCTTGTGATGCAACAGTTAAAACACTTGACTCTGAACCAGAAGGTGTGCAGTTCAAATCCCCCTCCAGCCATTCCTCAGGAGAAAGAGGGGACAATATATTTCCATACAGATCACAGTCTTGGAAACTCTACGGGGCAGCTCTGCCCTGCCCTGTGGCGTCACCGCGAATCGAATTGACTGAAACAGTAGAGTTTGGTTTTTATAGAGAACTTTCAGTTGCGACTGTTATTATCACTGGTATTATCTTATTACAGCAAGTTCACCCAGTGAACTTGGCCTCCTGTGGAGGATGTTTTTAAACTCCTTCACAGGAATCCACCCACATTTATGGGCCCAGCCTGCAGACAGTTTCCCAGACTACTGGTTACCAGGTCAGACAGAAAGGGGAGCAGAGACTTGTTACTGGAATCAGTGAGGACTGGATTTCTTGGAGAGGCCAGGACCCCGGACAGAGCTGAAGCAACTCCACTGGTCCCCAGATTGTTAGTTATATGGCAGAGGGGAGGCTATCAAGGTTTAATTAGTGCACACAGATTCCAGCTAGAAGTTAGACTACAAGAAGGACTTCCCAGCTTCTTGCCAAGTGGATCACGCTCCTGCCTAGCCCACAGGAGGGGGTGGAGTCGCAGTCTAAGTCTGGGGGAGGGTTCAAAATGAGCTCTCCACTCTGGAATTTGGCAAGGCTCATCATCCAAAGCACAATTTTCCATTCCTGGGCAAGGGGAGGCTGAGGGGAAGGGGTGCAAGAAGTGTGAAGACATCAAGGGAAAGGCAGCCTGGGAGGCAGTGCCCCCTGTTGTGGAAGGGTCTTCCTTAAGAGCCCCCTCTCAGGCCCCAGCCCACATCTGTGTCTCATTACCTTGGCAACTCATACAGATGGAAAAAAGTTCTGGGATGTTTTTCTAGAGCAGAGGCAGGAGCCAGAGCAACACTGCCTCCCTCCACGATCCTCCCACATCAGCACTTGGGCAAACTGGCAGGATTCATTCCTGTGTGCATCCGAGCGCACCCCACAGCCCACGGCACTGTGGGCGTGGTCGCCAGCCCAGCTCAGAGGCCCCACCTCCCACTCTACCATCAACAATTGGGTCCCTCTCACCCCGCACCTGTCACTTAGACCCATAGCCAAAGTCATGGGGCTTGGACAACTGTGTGATGAATAAAACAATATAAATGGAAAAGAGGCAGCAGAATCATGACCTGTGAACAATCCGAAAAATGCCAGACACTGACCAGTGGCGGGGGGAGGCAGAAACAGGACATTTTAGAAATTAATCAACACAGAACCCAAATTGACCTGATGACTGCCTGCAGCCGTGGGCTCTGGTGTGTCAGAGATGATGAGGGTGGCACAGGATCGGGCAGGGTTCAGGTCGGCTGTGCACAGGGTCGCTGGGAGGCATCCTTGACTCAACAGCGCCTAGTAACCTCACAGTACTGTACAAAAGGAGCTCTAGTGGCAAGAAGTTGACCTGTAATTCCTAAGGCACATGGTTCAAATCCACTGTCTACTCAGCAGGAAAAAGACGGCAGTCTCCCCCAAGTGACCAAATGCCTCTGAAAACCTGCTGGAGGGCCGGCCGTGGAAAGGCTCTGACTCGATGGTCATTAATCACAACAGTACTGTACACGGTAGACGTGGGCATTGATTCAGAGGTAATGGAGGTTCTAATAAACCAAACCAACTCCCCCCAAAAGAACATTCCTTATGTGTCTCTGAAATACACATGCCAATCTCTCTCATTCATCATGAATATTATAAAATAAAAATAATAGAAAATAATTTTGAAGGTTGAACCAATTTTAGGTAAAAGTAGGTGATCTTTTGTAATATTATAAGACCCAATTTAAGAAAAAGAAAATGATAGAAGAAGCAAATCTTCCCAAGAGTAGCTGATAATCTACTAATCAGGACTCGGAAAGCGGGATGGATTGAAAGTACTTCTCAAAATACCCACAATGACTGATTTAATTGGTCAAATTTGGGACAGGCCAAAAACATTCTATTAGGAATTTACATGGGGGGGGGAATCACTATTCCTGATGAGGAACAAGCCTCTATAAAATCAAAAAAGTGAGGTGGGGGGAGAAATCAAGCCTTTTAACTGTTTGGTATAGGAAGGGGATCAAGGAATTAAATTGTTGAGTTATTTGGAAATAACTCAAACTCCACTGCACTCCATACTGTTATGTGGGAACAGACTCCTCGCTGACCCCGCACTGGGTCAACTGCCCATCGTTCTCCTGAAGTACTGCAAATGGACTTGAATTGCTGGAGAGGTGAGGCCTCTGGGGCAGCACGACTTCCTACAGACTGTGCCACCATTGTTATTACGTGCCCTCCAGTAGGTTTTCAGAGGCAGTAAATCACACAGGAGGAGATTGTCTGTCCATCTTTCTCCCACAGAGCCACTGGTAGAATTGAACAGTGTGCCTTCAGGTTATCAGTGCAACTCCTTACTGCTAAGCACTAGTACTTCCCTGTTTACTTAAATAGGTCAAGGATGTTTACACACACACACACTCACACTCACACACGTGTTATTATGTGCCGTTGAGTTGCCTGTGAAGCCTGTCCTGCCGTGAGCCAGTCTCACTGACTCTGACACACCAACCCCCATACCCCCAGTTACTATTATCAATCCATCTCATCTGGGGTCTTCCTCTCCTCCGCTGTCCCCTTACCCTTTGGAGTATGATATCCTCCAAGGATCAGTGCCTTCTGGCCATGTGCCCAAAGTATGTGAGACGGAGCTTCAAAATCCTAATCCCCCAAGGAGAAACTTGGTTTCACCCTCTCCAAGACAGATCTGTTTGTTTTCTTGGCGGTCTATGGTATATTCAAGACTCTTCTCCAGCACCACAACTCAAAGGCATCCATTCTTCTCTCATCCTTAGTCATTGTCCAGCTCTCTAATGCACAGCAAGTAATTACAAAGACCACACCTTGGGTCGGGGCACCTTAGTCTCTAGACTGACCTCGTTGCTTCTCAGTCCTCTGGAGAGGTCCCTGACAGCAGATTTACGTAACACAATTCGTCCTTTGATTTCCTGACTATTGGTGCTAAGAGTGTTGATTGTGGAGCCATTATATATATACACACACTCATTTTGGGGAATTCATCTGCCGTAAAAATTCATCACCCAACCCTGTCAAGTTGATTCTGACTACAGGTGACCCCAAGTGTTACAGAGAAGAACTGCTCTCTGGGGCTTTGATGCCTTTAATCTTTATGGAAGCAGACTGCTAGATCTGTCTTCTGAGGTGCCCCTGGGTGAGTTTGAACCTCCCACCTTTAGTTTAACGGTCAAGCACAAAGAATTTGCACCACCCCGAGACCTGGACATTCGTAAAGGCTAATATATTTCTGATTTTTCAAATGTCTCTGTTCCTTAATCCAGAGACTTAAATGCCCAGGACAGTCGAGATGGTGAAGTTACTGTGGTGGGTTTAAAACTGGGGGCTCAGAACGCCCTGAGGCCACCTCCAGCACACACATGCATGGGTTCTTGCACACGGCGGTTCTGTTTGGTCCACATATCTGGGTCCAGGTGCCCAAGGCCTCCTACCCAGTGTCACTGGGAGGCCAGGGGCCCACATGATCTCCCACCTGCCCCTCCTAGGTGGGGACAATGGGGCCACTGTGACCCCCACAAGGTTCTGGCAACCTCACAATACACCCCATGAGGTCACCGCAGGGATAACCTTCGTGCGCCCTGCGCCCCTGGCACAAGTCGGCTGAAGCCAGCCGAGGGTGAGCATCCCAGCTCCTCTCTCTGGCCACCCAGGGGAAGGTGCAGACCGGACCACAGCCCTACAGAGAAACCTCTGAGGGAACAGGGGGCGTGACACACCTCACCCAGCCACCCAGGAGCACTCAGTGGAGATTTCACCATCACCCTGGAGGACCTCGCTTCCAGCTCCCCTCACCTACCCCAGGGAGAGATGCAGAAGGAAACCTCGCTGTCCCCAGCTATGCCCTCGCCCTCCACCATTGCACCCGGAGGAGGCCGGCAGGCCAGCATGTCCCTTGTCCCTAACAAGAAGGATGCTGGACGCAGCACCTTTCCCAAAGCCCGACGCAAGCCCAGCATATCCAAGGTGATCCTGAAGACCATCGCTGACAAGGGAGAGCACCACCACGTGTCCCTGGCCGCCCTGAAAAAGGCCATGGCCCACATGGGCTACAACATGGCCCGCGTCTCCGGGCGCTTCAAGCGGGTGCTCCGGAGGCTGGTGGACGAGGGCATGCTCAAGCGGGTGACCGGCAAGGGGGTTTCCGGCTCCTTTCGCATTGGCAAGAAGAAGGCCTCCAAGACCAAGCTCAAGGTCAAGACCAAGCAGCAGCAGCCGCAGCGTAGAACCGGACAGCGCAAGTTGATTCTGGGCTCCAGAAAGGGGCAGAAGCGTCTCCGTGTCCGCAGAATAAGAGGCCACCGTCGCCACAATTGAGGCAGGCAGACGGGGCACCAGGCCTGCCACAGGCTGAGTACAATGCCAATAAAAGGGCCTAAATTATTTCATCCTTGCCTCCTGGAATCTTTGGGGCCCAGGGCAGAGGAGGGGGAGGAAGAGGGTGAGACATGAGGGTGACAGCCCCAGGGAGCAGGGCAGGCCAAGGCAGGGAGGGACTGCAGGAAGCAGTCACCAGTTGGTCCCAGAGGGAGAAACTGAGGCCCAGGAAGAACCACTGAGCCAGACCAGGACCCAGGTGTCTAACTCATCTTTGGGGAGGTTGGGGGGTACATAACATTGGGAGCTTCTCAAATCCTCTCCCCAGTCTGACAGCAGATCCCCAAACCCTGGCCATAGCTCCCGCCCTGCCCCACTTATCCCAAAAGAGCAGAAGGCAAGGAGGCCAGGATGGGTCGGTCCCAGCATGCAGCTGATCCAGCTGGGCGTGCAGAGGTCAAGGGTGCCCCCCGCCCCACCCCCACCCTGCCTGTATCCCAGGGTCAATCTAGTTTGTCTACACTTCCCAGGGTACTGCAGGGTCCAGATCAACAGCCTCAGGCTGGGCGTGTTCCCACCCAGCCCCCAGCTGTCCCCAACTCACTCAGAGGTGGCCAGGTCTCTCTTCAGCCTGTGAAAAAGAGAGGGGAAAGGTTCGCTGGCTCTGCCTCCACTGACTTATGCATGCTGATGTCTTTCCCTGTAGAGGGTGGGAGACTGGGACCCGAGGGTCAGGTGGGCCCCTTTCTGGCTATTGAGGGGTCTGGGTGTCCAGGCCACGGGGTTCCTTGGAGGTGAACACCACCCTTGGCCGCGCCCACCCTCCATCCCACACTCACCGTCCCTCCCGCCGGCAGCACATGACATAGGCCAGCAGCAGAGTGAGCAGCAGGGCCACCAGCAGCGGCACCAGGAGGGTGACCAGGGCATCAGTCAGGAAGTCCCGGGCTGTGGTCTCGGTGGGAGGGCAGAAGAAGGGGTCGTGCTCCAGGATCCCGTCCCCTAAGGTGGGCATCTCGTCTGCAGGCACCGGTACTGACGTGTCCACCTGTTCGTGAAACCCAGAGCTGGGCAGAGGTGGCTGGACAGACAGAGGTCCCCAGACAGGGTCCCTCCTGCTGATTTCTCCAGCCCTGTGACCTAGTAGGACGAGCTCTGGACTAGCAGGGTATAATGGTTGGAGCAGAGCTCTGGTGTCAGACTGCCTGGGTTTGAATCCTGACCTGGACTTGTGCTTTGCTCACCTCTAGGAGTCTTTGTTTCCTTCTCTTAAGTTTGGAACAACCATGTTGTTGTTTACTGTCAAGGCAGAACCGACCCATAGCTGGCCCTCCAGTGGGTTTTCAAAGACAGTAAATTGTATAGGAGGAGAATTGTCCATCCTTCTCCTGTGGAGCAGCTGGTGGATTCGAACCACAGGCCTTCGGGATGGCAGCAGAGTTTCTTACCTCTAGCCCACCAGAGCTCCCTCTGGAACAGCAATGGTGACACCTATATTGCAGGGTGGTTGTAAGAATGATGCATGTGTTTTGGGCACGAAGCAACACCCCAGGAATAGAGCTCATTCCCAATCCCTGTCCAGGGTGCCCAGAGCAGTGCCAGCTCAGCCACTCGGTTTACGGGAGCAGGATCCCCCAGCAGTGCCCAGTGGGGGAGTCAGGGTCTCTAGGTCCTAGCTTTGTGTTGTGTGAAGTCGAGTCAGTGACTGCTCATAGTGTCCCCATGTGACAGGATAGATCTGTCCCACAGAGGTTTTCTTGCTGTAATTTTTACAGAAGTCAATCACAGGGTCTTCCCTCCTAGAGAGACGTGCTGAGTGGGTGGTTTCTAACCACCAACCTTTTGGTTCACAGCCAAGAATTTAACAACCACGTCACCAGGACTCCTTTAAGCTCTAGGCACCTCACTTCACATTCTGGAGAGTAGTGACAACTGTCTTTGGTTTAGACAAAATGAGAGTAAAAGTTATTCATTCTTTACCTTAGTGGCTCAGTGGTTAAACGCGACTGCTGACTGAAACACCACCAATATGAACCCAGCAGCCATTCCAAGAAGGAAGATATAACAGTCCCCTATATTGAGATAACCACGTTGGAAATTCTATGGAGCACTTTCTACTTTGTCCTACAGGGTCGCTATTTCAATTTGGCAACATCAAGTTTTGCTTTTTTTTATCCCAGGCAGGTTTCTTAAAGCAACATTTTTAAGAGCTATGATGTGCAACAATGAATGAATAAAAAATTTAAAACAAACAAACAGAAGAGATGTGAACTGAGCTCTCACACGGAAGAGCTGTCACACATGTAAAGGGTTTGTAACTTTCCTGTGGGGAGTATCCTAACATTGGATCTGGGCAGCCTGGGACTCCCGAGCTGTAACTCACATCTGGATGTGGCCTCTGTCGCCCTCTTGTGGGAGGAGGTAGAAATCCAAGGCAGGGTGTGAGCGCGCAAGCGCGCACTTGTGTATTTTCAAAGCTGAAATCACAGACTGGACTGGTGATCAAAAAATGATAGGCAAAGAGAGGGAGACTAGGGTGGGAAGGGAGAAGAACAGGAACCGTATTGGGGACCATGCTCCTTCCCCACCCAAAGAGTCGGGATTCCTCCTCACCAGGGACACATTACACCAGGCAACACGAAAGTGGGGTGACAAGGTGTCATAGCAGGACAGGAGTGGAGGCTGGCCCTGGGCACAGCGGGCGCGGCTGTCAGGGAACACCACCATCTTCAGGCAGGTGGAGAAGGGCGAAGCAGAGCCCACTTTGATGTACACCCTGAATCCAGAGAGAAGTCCCTGTTAGTAAAATATGGGGGTGCCCAGACCTGGGGATTCGGGCTCACACTGAGGATCAAGGTTATGCTCAGAATGTATAGAGCACTCCACAATTCCCAGGAATTTGGACCCTCCAGGAATGAATGACCTTAGATGGATGGATCTTATCTCCATGGGGACCAGAAAGAGCTGAGGTCAGCAGACTAGGATTTGGACTAAGGAGGGTAAAAGGGAGATGAAGGGTGACTGGGAAGGACTGAACCATGGTGTGGAGCTGGGAGGTCCAGGTGGTGTGGCGAGGATGCTCAAAGGTGGGTAACCCTCCTGTGGCACAGGAATTAAGCATTGAGCTGCCAACCCAAAGATCTCTAGTTGTAGCCCACAGCCTGCTCTGTTGGAGACATGGAGGTCGGCTTTCCTAAAGATTAACAGCCATAAAGATTGAAATTCGTGGGACAGTTCCACTCTGAGTCATAATCAATTCAGTGGGCTTAGGTTTGGTTATATGACCAAGGAGACTCCTGTGGTGAGAACCCAACCCAGGCAAGCTGGCTCTTCCTCCCCCAGGAAGCCCTCCTGGGTTGTACCTACCCTTCTTTGCGACCCTCAATGGGAAGGGGGACTCGGCCCCCACGGTCCAAGGCTGAAGTGATGTTGATAAGCTGGAGCTCCCCTGCCTCCCAGAGCCCTCCCAAGGCAGAGAGGAAGCGGCTGGCGGGCAGCGAGGGCAGCACTTCCTCCACGTCGTGGCTCTGCACCAGGAACTCAGCCTGGTAGGGTAGCAGAGGGCCTGGGAGGGCCAAGGGGGTACCTCAGGCTCCATGAAGGCCCCCAGATCTGCCCTCCCAGCCCAACTCCAAGTTCCTCTCCAACTGTCCTCACAAGCCTTTCTTCTTACCCTTCTCCCTTTCAAGTTCCACATCCCACAGGCCCTCACACAACAGCCTCCAGAGTGGGAGTCTCCCCCAGTCCCTACTTCCCAGGATGCCCTGCTTCCACTGTTCTCCAAGCGCCTCCCTTCCACGTGGCCCTTAGTCTTCCGGAGATCCCTGTCAGTGGGACAGGGCTGGTGGTACCTTCTGGGTCCTCAATCAGCAGCACCAGTCTCTGCTGGGTGGTGTCAAAGCTGTCCCGATTGTAGGCTACAACCTGGAGGAGTTAGGGGAGAAAGAGGCCAGGCTGGGAGGTCCAGGAGGGGTGCACCCTGGCAGAGAGGACCAGACAATCACACCAGATTGGAACTATACACATTGTATAAGGAAGTCCTGGGTCATGCAAATGGTTACCGGTGAACACTCTCCGCTGCTAAATGAAAGGTGAAAGGTTCGAACTCCCTCAGAGGTGCCTCAAAAGAAAGGCCTGGTGATTGGCTTCCCAAAACCCGGTCACTGAAACCCTTACGGAGCATGGTTCCACTCTGACACATATGAGGTCACCATGAGTGAGAACCAACTCAGTAGCAACTGGTAAAAAAAATATATGTAAATGACCACGGGCAAGCAGAGCGCCCAGAGGGCCCACTTCACAGCCCAGGCCACGCGGCCCCTACGGTACCTCGATGACCTGGCGGCCACGATCTGCTGGGGTGGCGGTGCCGTAGAGGAAGCCGGGCTGGTGGGGGTTGCGCTGGGTGTAGCGGAGCCACCGGGGCAGGTCTGGGTGTCCCTGGAGGTGGGCATGGTAGGTGATGCGCACGGAGGGTGGGACAGCTGGTGGGAGATGGAGAGAAGGTTGGCCTTTGAGCCAGGACCGGGTCTCAAGCACGGCCCACCCCACCTCCCAGGCCAACAACCCCCGGCTCACCGACATGCTCAGGGAGGCGCAGGAAGGTGGCGTGGTCCAAGGTGTGCACAAACACTCGGCCCACAAGTGGGTGGAGGGTGACCTGCTGGGCCTCGGTGCCCGCCAGCCCTGCCAGGAGACCTGTGGGGACCCCAGAACCACACACACAGACTAGCTTCAGACCTAGGCTGGGGATAAACTGCTGACCCAGCAAGGTCCCTGAGTCCCCCATGTGAGAGACAGAGACCCCTTCACCAGCTCCCAGAGGCAGGTCACGCCTGAATTAGCCATTTTATTCAGTGATGAGACCACTTATGGTTCCCTCATGTGATTCGTGGAAGAGGTTCCCACCTTCCCAAGGCCCTGTCAGGGTCACAGTGGATGTTTGCCTGGAGTGTGTATGCAGGTGGGCTGAGGCACAAGAATCCACCTGGAGTGTCTGGGAGGGAAGGGTAAAGGGACCATAGCAGGGACAGGGTGACCATTCTGGACCTTCGCCCCCCCCCCCATCTTTCCGTTCCCTTAGCTTCCAGAGCCTGGCTGGTGGAGCTGAGCACAGAAACCCACCCCCCAGCCCCCACCCCCGCTTCAAAAGAGGCCTCTCTGACTGCCCAGCAGCCCCTGCTCTCTGCCTAGGACCAAATTTAGCCTGGGCCTTGGCAGGGGAGCAGCGGCCCAGCCAAACCATTAAAGGGCCCAGCACCCTCTGGGGTGAGGACACCCCCCAATCCTCAGAGCTCTCAGTTCCCTAATTCCAGAGCTCAGCTCCCAGCCTTAGAGCCCTGGACCCCAGCACCAGGCACATGAACACTCATAGTCCCTCAGGTTCTGCCTCTCCCCAGGCCCTCCCCAAAGGACCCTTTAAACCTCCCCTCCATCTCTCCTAAATCTCTATCCTCTCATCCCAGCCTCTGCCTTGAAGAAGGCCCCAACTTGCCCACAAGGAGAGGAATCCAGACCAGTACCACTGCCATGGCTGCCTGGCCTGGGCCGGCCTGTGAGTGACAGGAACAAGAGCAGGCAAGTAGGGGGAGGGAGGACGAAGGGGGAGGCGCCCTAAGCAGCTGGGTCCCTCCCTAACCCCATGGAGAGCAGGCCGTTGACTCTGGAGAGGACCCTTCCCGTCCTCGGGGAACAATGTCCCTCCTGATGCCCCTGTGTTTGAATGTGTTTCCTAGAATACCAGCCCAGTGACCTCACCAGCTGCTCAAGTCTTCTGTTAAAGACTAAATCCTAACCTCTGTGCCTTCAGTTAGGGAGTTCTGGTGGCTTAGCGCTAAGGAATTGCACTGCCAACCCAAAGGTACACTGTTCAAGTTCATCAACTGCTCCACAGAAGAAAGGTGGGCAATCTCCTCCTGAAGGAGTTACCGCCTCTGAAAACCCACTGGAGGGTCTGCCAGGGGCTGGTCCCAATTCAACAATGTGATGCCTAACAACAACAATAATCCTGTGGTTAGGGATCCCTGGGGGTGCAACGTGTAACCTCTCAGGCTGCGAACTGAAAGATCAGTGGTTTGAACTCACCAGTTGCTCTTCAGGACAAAGCTGTGGCAATCTCCCTCCCTAAAGATTTTAGCCCCGGAAACCCTTTCGGGCAGTTTTAGGCTGTCACGTGAGTCAGAGTCAGCTCATTGGCCACAAGTTTTGGGTTTTATTAGCGTAAGGCGTGTCCTAAAGCAATCTTTTCTGAAATGTAAAAGATCACACTAAAGGGAGCTCTGAGGGCCTAGTGGCAAGAAGCTGCCCTGCGATCGGAAAGCTCACAGTTCTAATCCACCAGATGCTCTGCTGTGGGAGGAGGGGCAATCTCCTTCTTTGCCAGTCAGATTGGATGGCACACAACAAGTAAAAAAAAAAAAAACAAACCCAAAACAAAACCAAAAATCCAACATGGTAAACAAAAAACCCCAACCTACCAAAATAAAAAGATCAGAATAAACAGGCAAGCAGAAATGGGGGAGGATAGGTACCATGGCCGTGAAAATTATGAAGGAGCCAAGAATAGAAGCTGCAAGGAGCCAACAGCCGGAGGGGGCGGGCGGGGGCTCCTCCCCTTAAGCCAGGGCACTAAACCGGACGTCTGCCCCCCTAAAGTGTGAGAAAATGCATTTTTAAATTTTATTATTATTATTATTAATGAAAATGTACAGATATTTGGATCATTGTTGCACTTTTCTCTCTGTCCATCCCTCCCCTCCAGTTCCTTCTTCCCTTTGAAAAGCAAAAGAAAAATCTCTCCCTCCAGGTGCACTCTGCTATGCAGCCTTCGTTCTGCACTCCTGTCATGACAATAATACCTAATCATATTGCCGTTTAAAGAGTTCTCTCCCTCATCTGTTTCAATGCAGTGAAAATGCATTTCTGTTCGTTAGAGTCACCCACTTGTAGTATTTCCATTAGAGCTGCCCTGGTGGTGTATCAAGTTACATGTTGGGCCACTAACTGAAAGGTCAGCAGTTCGAATCCACTGGCTCCTCCATGGGAGAGAGATAGTATCTTCCAGTAAATTGTATCGCTTCAAAACCTCAGGGGTGGGTGAATGGCTGTGATCCTTCCTCACCAGGGCCACAGCGCATGGGGCACTGAGTGACAGGGTGTGATGGCAGGACAGAATAGGCTGGCTATGGGCACAGCGGGCACAGCCGCCCGGGAATCCCACCATCTTCACGCAGGTGAGAAGGCAAGAAGGGCGAAACACAGCCCACTTTACTGTACACCCTGAGCCCAGACAGAGCCCCTGTTAGTGATGTGTGTGGGTGTCCAGTGCTGGCGATGTGAGGGTTACCGGGCTCACCCAGAGATGAGGGTTATGGTCATAGTGTACAAAGCATGCCTTCCTTCCAGGGCACCTGGACTCTCCAGGACAGCTTTGTTTTTTGTTTTTTGGGTTTTTTTTTTTTCTATAATTATATTTTATTAATTTTCATAAACATTTACAGAGATTTTGGGCTTCCACTCATTCATTGTTGCACTATTCTCTCTAC